ATCTTTTGGAACTGGCTTCTTTCACATGGCATAATGGTTTTTTGTGTATATTGTTTAAATATATTTTTATTGATTTCAGAAAGGAAGGGAGAGGGAGAAAGAGATAGAAACATCCTATATAATAAAAGACTAATATGCAAATCGACCAAAGGGCGGAACATCTGGTCGCTATGATGTGCACTGACCACCAGGGACAGACACTCAACGCAGGAGCTGCCCCCTGGTGTTCAGTATGCTCCCCCTGTGTTCCAACCTTATGGTTGATGAGTGCAGCGGCAGTGGTGGGAGCCTATCCCACCTCCACAGAAGCACTAAGGATGTCTGACTGCTAACTTAGGCCTGCTCCACGTGGGGAGCGGGCCTAAGCCAGCAGTAAGACATCCCCCAAGGGCTCCAAGACTGAGAGAGGGTGCAGGCCAGGTTGAGGAACCCCTGCCCAACTGAACAAATTTTGTGCACCGGGCCTCTAGTCAATAATGAGAGAGAACCATTGATCAGCAGCCTCTTGCACACCCCCGACTGGGGATTGAGTCAGCAACCTGGGCAGGTGCCCTGACTCAGAATCAAATGGTGACCTCCTGGTTCAGGGGTCAAGGCTCAACCACTTAGCCATCCTGACCAGTCAATAAAAATATTTTTTAATTAAAAAAATACAATTTTGAATGGGAATGATTGGCTTAAAAAAATTAACTTTCTTTCAATGTTGGTATCTTTGTGTTTCTCCTTTAGATATAAGGAGAATACTATGAAGTTATCAAGAATTCATCATGACCAGCCTATGAAACCTCTAGATCGAACAGTCTTCTGGATCGAGTTTGTCATGCGCCACAAAGGAGCCAAACACCTGCGGCCAGCCGCCCTTGACCTCACCTGGTTCCAGTACCACTCTTTGGATGTGATTGGGTTCCTGCTGGCCTGTGTGGCAACTGCTACATTTGTCATCACAAAATGTGTTCTGTTTTGTTGCCGGAAGTTTTTTAAAACAGGAAAGAAGAAAAAAAGAGAGTAGTTGTTATGGAGGCCTGATGCTGACATGCCTTGTAGATAGGACTCCTGCACTTTATTCCACCAAGAAGTTCCAATGTAAGGGTCACTATCTCCTGTGATGACCTTACTTTTCACAATTTAGCTTCTCAGATCCAAATTTGTTTTCAAGTGACTACCTGGTTAAGATATAAATATGTCATACCAAACTTAAAAACTTATAAAAAGTAAACCAAAAATAAAGCCATATGAATATATTTTTAAATTTGTTATTCTAATTGCAAAGTTATACCAAAATATTAGCTTAACTGTGTTTCAAACATTACACATGAACATAAGAACATTTTGAGGAAATTCTACACGTGTTTGTTGATTTATTGATGGTAGGCATTGTGGCAGTTATGAGATGATAGTTCATTGTCATTTTTATTTGTATTTCTCTGATGATTAATGATGTTGAGCATTTTTTCATGTATCTTGGCCATTTATGTGTCCTCTTTAGAAAAGTATCTATTCATGTCCTCTGCCAATTTTTTAATTGGTTATTTGTCTTCTTTTTGTTGAGTTGTATGAGTACTTTAACATTTTGAAAATTAACCCCTTATCTTGTATATCACTGACAAATATGTGCTCCCATACAATGGGCTCCCTTTACTTTTTTATACTGGTTCCTCTTGCTGTGCAAAAGCTTTTAATTTGATGTAGGTTCATTTGTTTATTTTTTTCTGTTTTTCCTGCCCTAGGAGATGTATCTGTAAACATATTGTTACGTGAGATGTCTGATATTTTTTTGCCTATGTTGTCTTCTAGGATTTTTACAGTTTCATGAATTACATAAAAATCTTGTATTCATTTTGAGTTTACTCTTGTGTATGATATAAGTTGGTGGTCTAGTTTTTACTGTTCTGCATGTACCTGTCTAATTTTCCCAACACCATTTATTGAAGAGACTGTCTTGACTCCACTGTATGCTCTTGCCTCCTTTGTCAAATATTCATTGAGCATAATGGCTTGGGGCGATTTCTGAGTTCTCTTTCTGTTCCATTGATCTATATGTCTGTACTTGTGCCAGAACAAGGCTGTTTTGATTTGCTTTGTAATATAACTTGATATCTGGTATTGAGATCCCTCCAACTTTGTTCTTCTTTCTCAAGATTACTGCAGCTATTTGGCATCATTTTTTATTTCATACAAATTTTTGGAGTATTTATTCTAGATCTGTGAAATATGTCATTGGTATTTTAATAGGGATTGACTTGAATCTATAGATTGCTTTAGATAGTATGCACATTTTAATTATGTTAATTGTACCAATCCATGAACATGGTATGTTCTTCCACTTGTTTATATCTTCTTCTATCTCTTTTATCAATGTCTTATAGTTTCCTGAGTACAGGTGTTTTACCTTTTTGGTTAAGTTTATTCCTAAGTATCTGAAATTTTTCTTGCAATGCTAAATGGAATTTTTTTTTAGTTTCTCTTTCTGACAGATCATTATTGGTGTATAAAAATACCATTGAGCCTGGCCAGTGTGGCTCACTGGTTGAGCGTTAACCTATAAAGCAGGAGCTCACAGTTCCATACACAGTCAGAGCACAAGCCCAGGTTGCAGGCTCCATCCACAGTGGGGGGTGTGCCGGAGGCAGTAGATCAAGGATTCTCGCTCATCATTGATGTTTCTCTTTCTCTCAATCCCTCTTCCTTCTTCTATGAAATCAATATATATTGAAGAAGAGTAGATAAAGAAGACATCCCTGTCTTATACTCGTTCTTAAGGAAAATGGTTTTAGTTTTTGCCAACTGAGTATGGTGTTGGCGGTACATTTATCATATATGGCCTTTATTATGTCAAGGTGTGATTCCTCTATTCCCACTTTGCTGGGAGTTTTTATCAAAAATGGTGTCAGATTTTCTTCAAACACTTTTCTGCATCTATTGATATAATCATGTGCTTTTTGTATTTCAATTTGTTTATGTATTGTATCTTGTTTGTTTATTTATGAATATTGTACAGCCTTGCATCCCTGGAATAAATCCCACTTGGTCATGGTGTATGATCTTTTTAATATGTTGCTGAGTCTTATTTGCTAATATATGTTGAGTATTTGGACAGGTTAATCATGGCTGGTCATGAAAAAGATTCCTAGGATACTGTATATTTCTTGGGGAAATGCTACACAAAAACCTGAAAAATAATTAGAAAATCATAAAAGACTTTGTGTCTTGAGCAGTTAAAGATAACCACTAATTAATAGGTTGATATACACCTAATCAACCTATTTTTAATCTTTGCCTTTTCTGCTTACAATGCTTTTATTTGCAATTTCATACACTTAGCTGAGAGCTGAATCAATCAACTCAGACAGGCTTCTACTTCAACTATCTTTGAGAAGCACAAACAAGAACAAACAAAAGATCATATCTCACACTAAATATATGATCAAATCTACTTCACTGAATATCAAATTGTTTCACAGAACTAATGTTCAAAGAAACCAACTTAAAAAAACCTTTGAGCCTGGCTAGTGTGGTCGATCTATGAACCTGGAGGTCACGGTTAGATTCCAGGTCACAGCACATGCCTGGGTTGCAGGCTAGATCCCCAGTGTGGGGCATGCAGGGGGCAGCAAATCAATGATTCTCTCTTATTATTGATGTTTCTTCTCTCTTGCTCACTCTCCCTCTTTGAAATCAATAAAAATATATCTTTTAAATTCTTTTATATACCCATGATTTAAACTCAAATGTAATGATTTGCTGTAATTAATTAACTCTATAATCATTATGCATGCTGAGAGCACATTACTTACTAGGCTCTATTGATATAGGAAAAAATTACAAGAATCTTGGCTCAAATCTACCCTCAGTAGTAACAGAAAACTATAATATATCTTGCCACATTTTGGCATGGTAGGATTATGAGTAAAGACGTCTGAAAAGCCTCAACTTGAGAAAAAGGACAGAAGCATTATATAAGGAGGGGAAAAAGAGCTTCTTCTATTAAACAAAAATTGTACTAATAATATTTTCACGCAAGAAGTCTTTAAAATTAAAAAACACCCCACTTAACTCACTTAAACTAACAGATTCATTTGATAATAATATCTACTTGGTAGCTAAAATTTAACCCATTAATTAACTTAACCCACATAACACACATATATTTAGAATTATCCATTTTGATTATATAATTCAATTTTATGTAAATTATATAACTAAAAGAAACTGGGTATTTGTCTATTTAATTTCAGTTTTATGTCCATAATTCCTCTTATGTAACATTTCAAATACAATTTATGAAATTATTTACAGTTTGTTTTATATTAAATTCATTTTCATTCTCTTTCCATTTATCCCTTCTATGCCCATTATTATGACTCATACTTTAAATGTAGAATTTTCCTAATTGCTTTAAGTTGTCTTTCTAAAATGAGGCTCAGGTCATATAAACTAAATTGCTTAGGCAGAAAAATGATCAATTTAAATAAGGTAATGACTAATAAAAATATCACGTTGGGTTTGGAATCAAGGCAGGATTTGAGTCTCAAAAAAAGTAGACATCCAGAGGGCAAAAACACATTAATTCAGAAGCTAAGGGATGGAGTTCTAATCTAATCTCTGGCAATTTCAAACTGAGTGTCCTTGGTCAAAATTTCATTATCAAATTATTGCCTTTGGACTAAATGACTTTACATTAAAAAGTAATGACTATAAAATGAAGCTTTCCTCCCTGGGTTTATGTCACCATCAACTTTAATTAGAATCCTAAAGTAAAAAGGATTCTCACCTGTTTTTCTCCCTTCCTCTCAGTTATAAAACATGTATTTTTTATAAACAGAAATTAAAGACTTGGTTATTTGCAATTATTTATTCTTCTGCATAAATACCTAAAATTAATACCCTAAATACCCTTCAAAACACATCAGTGAGGCAGCAATAAAGTAAGACAGCAGTAAAAAGTTGTGTGATAACTGTAGTATGTATTTGTGAACCACACATCCCAAAAGAGGGTCGTCATGAGTATGAATTATTCATGGAGTTCTCACTAATAAAATAGTGTCCCATGAATTGAAGTGATGAGATATAACACAGAAGGATGAGGTCGACTGATATTGATGGGATTCTATAACAATATGAGTAATCCTAAAATTAAAACATGCTGGAGAGGTCACGGACATATTCTTGACTAGAAGACTAGAAACCATTGTGGGGTGATTTGGTGCAGATATTGTGGAGCTAATCTATCATCTGCCATTCAATTGGAGAGAAAAAACTAGCAATAAATTAATTAGAAGTTTGGAGTTGTGTTTAAATATTTGGTTCTTTTTATCTTGTAAAAAGAAACTTACAAATAATCTATTTTCTTTTTTTAACTTTCTTTTTTATTTCTTTCATCTTTATTTATTTTTCTCTTTCTTTTTTTTATTCCATTTGATTATATTAATGCCCCGTTTCATTTGACATCTAAAAGCCATATCATTCTAGAAGACCTAAAGTTAATTTTCCCTTGAGAGCTAATCATAAAGTTAGTGGTACAATTTTTCCATTTAACTTATAGTCTATTTCCTTTTACCCAACTTTTTTTTTCCAGGAAGACCCACTACATTATGTGAGACTCTGGGGAAAGCTGAAATTTGGTTAATTAGAACATATTGGGATTTTGAATTTCCTCGTCCATATCTACCTAATTTTGAATTTGTTGGAGGATTGCACTGCAAACCTGCCAAACCATTACCTAAGGTAAGACTACAGCATTGATGGATTTTATATACCTTATGATGTGATACCTGATTTCCTTTTAAAGCTTACAGTCTTGGTAACAGTGACATGATGTTGAATATCATTGGATGGCTAACTCTATTTCCATGCCAGAGGGCTCTTGTGAGTTATTAATAGGTATTTTAGGTATTATATTGGGAAATCAGGCTAATAAAACTGGCGTGATTGAAGCACATCTTAAAATATCCTTTTTTTTAACAAAATGGAAAATTGATAGGAGCAACTGGAAACTGAAGCCATGAAAATCAGTAAGGAGACTGCTGTAGTATTCTTCATAATCATGATAAAGTTATGAAAATGGGCATATACTATGAAGGTTGAAAGATAAACAGGCTTTCATGAGACACTGGGATAAGTTTCACACTATTTACTGGGTGAGAGGGGAAGTAAGAGTTAAAGGAAGAAAAGGAAAAAAGATGACTCTTTGATTTTCATTTTGAATGTTTATTTGATAGTGATGGCTTTTACTGAAATAGAAAACATAGGATAAAATTTATTTGAGACTAATACAATTTCTACATTGTGACTATTTACTTAAAGGAACAAGTGGAATTTTCAGGTAGAATTTTCTATAAGTCATTTGGGTAATATCACACAGCAACACACAGCAAAGGAAATATTGGAGGTCATCAGCATAGAGTTCATGACAATGAGAGACCCAAACTTGGCTTCATTCTTTACCAACCTGATGACAGGTTTCTTTTGGAATAAAAAAGATGATTGTATACCACATTCTTAAGTCTTCAAATAAAAAAATGTGGAGTGTCAGGGATGTTAAAAGAAAACAGTATTGAGAAACAAATGAGTAATAGATAAGTGTTACATAGATACTGTGTTGAACTATCAATAGTGAGTGAAGAGGAAACCCTCATTTACTTGTACTGTGAGAATATTTTAAAAATCCCTTTAGGAAGTTTTCAGGGTAAATGATATTCCTAAGAGATTCTTGATTTATTTTACAGAGGGCTCAAAGAAATGGAAGGCTCCAGCATGAATTGGTATCCAGAAACTGTGACTTGCAGTGTCTGACATGGAGCCAGAGCAGATGCTGAAAGACAGGCACCAGTTTCAGAAAATTCTCATTCTGAGTGTAGTCCCACAGAAAACGTTGAGAGGATAGTAAAACTGAGAATATTAATGCAGAAAAATCATCAAAGCAGAAAGTGGATCTATAGTCTTTGCCAACTGTACCTACCTGCATCAGATTGCTGTACTTGCAAAGGAAAGACTACCAAATCATTCTGAATTTCTAGCATCATATCTTTTAAAAAAACAAGTCAGAGTTGGAAGATGGAAACTAACTTATTGGGAAGAAAAGAAACATTTGGTTTCTGTGATTAAGAGGCAGCTTTAATTGTCGTAATCCCCTGAGCCCCCTTTTTGTAAGTATAAGAAACTTCAGAATAACAACTTATTACTGGAGTTGCAGAAGAAAACATATTTCACTTATTTTTATTTAATCAAAATACTTATTTAATGAGTGTATTATGTACATTTTTTTCTCTGATTGTCCTTCAATTTTTTTAAATCACCTTCAAAATAAACTGTTAAAACATCAAAAAAAGCAAAAACGATGATGACAGGTCCTCCAATCAAGAACACACACACACACACACACACACACACACACATTTTATTCAAACTCCATGTGTTTGGGAAGGTGAATCAAAATAATAACAAAATAATTTCTGTGGTGTCAAATATGTCCTCCTAATATTAATGAAGCTGACATAGTAAACTTTGACATCATCTCTTTTCTGGTCATTTAATAGCCTTAATTGGGGAATATGTGACTCCAGAGTTGCCACAAAAGGTTTAACAAGGAATACAGGATGCATGTCTAGAGGATGTCATTCTCATAGAATATGATCTGACTGGGCCCAAACCCTGAGTTTCCCATGGCCAACGTGTACAGCTCTAAACGGTGAGGTAGTTTAATTTACAGAAGTAGCTATGTATCATCTCTGTGCTAAGGCTGAAATTAAGAACATGGAGCTAATGTCCACTGAGTTGGGAGTTTTATACATCAAAAAGACAGGCAATCACTATCTCCTAAAAGTAATTTATAATTATAGAGCTGTTTAAATATGTTATATCTCTTTTTCCAAAACATTACTATTACTATTTTAGAGGCCCAATACCCCTGGCTGTTGGCACTGGCTTCCCTCTGGCACCAGGGACCCGGGCTTGCTTCCCTCTAGCTGCCAGCAGTCCCCAGGGACCCAGGCTGGCTTCCCTCCAGGCATGCGTCGGCACCCAGGACCCTGACTGGCTTGCTCCAGCTGCTGGCAGGCAACCGGGACCCTGGCTTCCCTGCAGCCTGGGCTTTGTCTGGAAGGATGTCTGGTCTAATTAGCATATTACCCTTTTATTATTATAGACTAGTAGCCCGGTGCACAAAATTCGTGCACATTAAACGGGATTAATTGCCCTAACCAGTTTGGCTCAGTGGATAGAGCATCGGCCTGCGGACTCAAGGGTCCCAGGTTCAATTCTGGTCAAGGGCATGTACCTTGGTTTCGGGCACATCCCCAGTGGGGAGTGTGCAGGAGGCAGCTGATTGATGTTTCTCTCTCATCGATGTTTCTATCTCTCTATCCCTCTCCCTTCCTCTCTGTAAAAAATCAATAAAATATATTTTCTAAAAAAGGGAATTAATTAGTGGAGATATTTTAATATTGCTATTTGCCCTTTCTCTATAATAGAACTGTGAGAGATGAAAGGAAATTAGTAAAATGTATATGAAAATAATATATAAATTTATTAATAAATAAACAGTAACAAAAGGATATAACAAAAACAGAGGCATGATATAAAAACGACAAAAACATGATATGAAAACAACAAAAACATGATATGAAAACAACAGTGATGCAAACAATGACTGATAAAGTGATTAAACTTATTCTAATATCTCCCTGTACACCACATTAAGAGTGAAAACACTTTCCTTGTGCTAAAGTATTTAGAACTTTAACTGTAACATCACATACTCTTCAAACTCGAGAGAAAGCAACATATAACTGACCATGTGCAAAAACGGGTTCAGGTAGGAACATGCCTACTCTGTCTAGAGTTTGTCCTTGTGATTTATTAATAGTCATCACAAATACTGTAATCATGGGAAACTGCCCTCGAATCAATTTAAATGGGAGGCCAGTGTCAGATGGGGACAAATTAATTCTTGGAATCAGAACAGCCTCCCCCTCTGCAGATCTTGTTAATACTTCAGCTTCAATAATGTTAGGTCATAATCTTTTGATAATAAATCTGGTACCATTACAAAGACCCCATTTACTATTGAGATTTCTCAATAGCATGATGATTGCACCCACTTTCAATTTTAATTTATGACACGGCATTCCCAAAGGAGTAATACTATTAAGAAATTCGATGGGAAAATTTTCCTTTTCAGCATCATCTGTGGAATCAATGGAATCATCACTCAAATATGTGTGAAAATCTCCATCGAGTATATCCAAATTTTCTTCATTTAATTTTTGAACATGCTCATTGTTTGGACAAAGAATTGCACGTTTAGATATATGTTTAATATTATCTATAGCAGTGGTTCTCAACCTTGGCTGCACATTAGAATCACCTGGGAATCTGTTTAAAATCCTGATTCCTGGGCCTCATCCTCCGGAAATTGTTTCTTTGTTATGGGGTGGGGCCACAACATTAGTAACAAAGAAACAGAATTAAAACTTTATTGTGGGGAGCCGCTACAGAGTTTTGGACAGGTTCAAGCCTTGGACTCATGAGAGGGCACAGTCCTCTCATTGCCACGTGCAAGTCCCATCTTGGAGGGCAGGACCCTCCCAGCACAATTATAGCCAACAGCTGTAGTTGTAAGCTTGAACCTATGGTCCGAACATGTGGCCCCACGTGCCTGAGTGATGTAGGCTTGATAGAGTTCAGGTGCATGTAGTTGAGTGGGATTGAAACCCAGGAGAATGTTGTAAACATCTTGGTCACGCCCTTACTTTGCCTCGTAGCATCTGCTATAAAATAAAGGCATGGCTGTGGGTGTGGTCGCTGTCTCTCAGAGAAGCAGCATCCCACCAAGACCCGGCTTTCATTCTCTTGTCTGTCTTTTCTAAACCTTTCAGCTGCCCCCACTCTGGTTCACCCCTGGCTGTGCTGGCGCATGGCACACTTTAGAAAGATCTGCCTCCACACTCCGAGGGAGGGTTCCTGCCTCAAACCCCGCCCTTACAGGAAACAGCTCTGGGAAACAGCTTAGGGGAGGGTGCAGCCGTTGCCAAGAAAATGACTGCAGGACTGACTTCCTTCCACTTGGTCGCAGCAGATCTTCTGGACGTGATGAACACCACCCATGGTTTTTATATAAGTAGATACTACAATTCTAACAAATATCTGCTTAGGCATAAAGGAAGACTTGAACGTGAAAAATTACTAATGAAGCCATAGGCAGATCAACACAGTAATGATATATTAGATGTAAACTATAACTTTATTGGGGTGACATTGGTTAATAAATTTACATAAGTTTCAAGTGTACAAATCTATGATACATTATCTGTATATTGCATTATATATTTCTCTTAAAGAGAGTCGGTGGTTAATGTTAAGCGCCATTTTTCATGAAAAGTGCCAACAATTTTTAAAAAATCTAACCAGGCCTCTGACAATTCCCTTGAATCTTTATTTTAGAAGTATAAGAGAACTTTATTTTATTCCCTAAGATACTGTATATCTATAGTACAAAGAATTTTTCTCTACAGGAAATAGAAGAATTTGTCCAGAGCTCAGGCAAAGATGGTATTGTGGTGTCTTCTCTGGGTTCAATCATCCAAAATCTCACAGAAGAAAAGGGCAATCTTATTGCCTCAGCCCTTGCCCAGATTCCACAGAAGGTTAGTACAACCTTTAATCCTGCTGGGCTGGTGTCTTTCCCACTGAAAGTTGAATCTCATTTTACACTTAACATATCAGGTACCAGTATTAAATAAAAATTTGTAAAATATTACAATAGTGAGTGTAGGCATATTTGCACCTAACTTGCTGAGCTTTCTGTTACAATCATTGGTTTTCAATGAAATAGAGATGAAAACATTAAGCGCCATTTTTCATGAAATCTTAAGGCCTGCTCCAACAACTCCCAAAGAGTTCTGAAGTGCATTTACTCCAAGAGCAGGAAAAAGGAGAAAAGAAATGGCAAACATAGATATGAAAGCTGCATAAGAATATCCTCCATGTCTTTGTTTGTATTAGGACTTGATTCATCATAGTTAAGCACAGAAGTAGAAGCCTAGACTCATTTAGCATTTTAATTAACATTTTCTAGAATTAAAAGGCCAAAGAAATGTTAATATAGTCTAGCACTTTGCATGTCCTAATTTATGATATTCAGTTCATTTTAATGTTTTCACCACCATCTTAGATTACTGCTCTTTTCATATTGCTATTTATAAAACACCCAACAGCTGTTTTTATTTGTATATTTGGTTAAATTCCATAAAATTCTATAAAAATTATATATAAATGCAAATATGATAATTGAAGAAATTAAACCAAACAATATACTTCACCAAACTTTGGAATATAAGCAAAAACACTACCTTATTTTTACTTTAAAATAAAGAAGTTGTGGGAGAAAAAAGAAGTAGAAAGAAATGGAGGATGAAATGATAACCAGTCATCCAAAAAATAAGTACTTAAAATCTAAAGCAATATTTGTAAGAAACATTAATATGAAGATAAAGCTACGAGTACCAGTGATAAAAAATTATATGGAGGTCCTGGGCCATAAAAATTTTAACTCCCAAACTCTGATTCATTAGGTATCATGGCATTATTTTCTAACTCTTCACTTATAATCTCACTCCTGGAAGTTCTTAGTGATAATAGAAAAACTGATATCTGACAATTACCACAAACTCTTTTAAAAAGGTTGTTATAAACAGCCCCACTATTTGTGTCTATAAAGTACACTTCTATACTCCCTTCTCAACTATCACCTAAAGTAGAGTAGATGCATGGTGGATACAAACTCTACAACCTTAAAACGTCATTATCCTGTGGTATTACTTGTGAAATATATTCACTGTCTTCCACAGGTTTTATGGAGATACACAGGAAAGAAACCAGCCACATTAGGAGCCAATACTCAGCTCTATGACTGGCTACCCCAGAATGATCTTCTTGGTAAGACTAAGGGGAAGAAAGGCTATATAGTAGTTGATGGACAAGTTGATCAATTCTTTAACAGCTAATAATAACTTAAAAACTAATATCAACAAATAGTTAACAATAGTAAAAATTTTTCATTTTACCTCTAATTCAAAAAGATATAATTAAATATCTGACCATTAATTTTATAGATTCATACTTGCTATGAATTTAGATAAGAGTTTCAGGAACACAGACGGAATTAATGCCTCCTTTTCCTGGAATAACAATTTTCTGTGGTAGCAGTGCCCCACAGGAAATACTGTAGAAAATACTGCCTTCTTCAAAAACTTATCCCATAGGTCTTCCTCTTCTGTCTCCGCATTTCTGTTCATGCATTATAATAAAATTTTCACCCACTTCTCATCCTATCCCCACACTAGGTCATCCAAAAACCAAAGCTTTTATCACTCATGGTGGAATAAATGGGATCTATGAAGGTATTTATCATGGGATCCCTATGGTGGGAATTCCCATGTTTGCTGATCAGCATGATAACATTGCTCACATGAAGGCCAAAGGAGCAGCTGTGGAGGTGAACATGCACACAATGACAAGTGCTGACTTGCTCAAGGCCTTGAGAACAGTCATTAATGACCCTTCGTAAGTACTACTTCTTTCTAAAGGATTACCATTGATTGTATTAAGCACCATACAAGAACATGTTAGAGATCATGCTTACCTTGCAATGGATCTTTTCCCATAATCTTGGAACATTCACAATCTTGGTCTTGGAAATCTTCGGGAAAGTACAGTTCATACAATGTCACATTTCCAGCTCAGAAAAATTGGGCTTCAATTAACAACTGTTTTATTCTTATTGTTTTTTCTATGCCTGCATTTAACCGCATTCAGTTAATAATATATTTATTTTACCATCTCCCTACTATATGTGTTAAAATTCTATACAATGAGCAGTGTTCATGTAACAATTCTGTGGCCCTTAGCTTAATTTTTATAACATGTGTCATGTGACAAACAAAAACAAAATTTCATTCATTTCTTTCTCTTTTGCCTTGTTCCTTATTTGCTTTCCAGCTATAAAGAGAATGTGATGAGGTTATCAAGGATTCACCATGATCAACCTGTAAAGCCCTTGGATCAAGTGGTCTTCTGGATCGAGTATGTCATGCGCCACAAAGAGCCAAACACCTGCGGCCAGCTGTCCACAACCTCACCTGGTTCCAGTACCACTCTTTGGATGTGATTGGGTTCCTGCTGGCCTGTGCAGCATCTGCTATATTCTTGATCACAAAATGTTGTTTATTTTCTTGCCGAAAATTTGGTAAAACTGGAAAGAGGAAAAAGAGAGAATAGTTCTTTCCAACTTAGGCAAAGTTCTGAGTGGACAAACCTGTTTCTTCCTGCACATCCTTCTTGTTTTCAATTTCCAAGTTCCTCTTTTTTCAGCCTAAAGAAACAGCCTAGAATTCCCCAAGATCATTCACTGGTGAGCATGCCCCATTCTTCCTTTATAGCCTCAGGTATGTTTACCCTCTTCCTCTTTATCCACTTTCTGGCACAGGGACATTAATTACCCTAAAAATTCTATTCATGATATCACTATTTTAATTGCATAACCTTCAGTGATATGATGATTGCTGGAGATAACAAAATATGAGCCCAATTTCATGAATGTGGGGATCTGAGAATAATACAACCAATCATATAAACAGGGAAGTGTCCTCAAAAGTTAGTTCGATATGAAAATAAGATTTCTGTTTTAAATAAAAATAAGCCTCTCTACTTACCCAATGTTATTAGGATTAGGCCAAAATTGAAAATAATGATGATAAGACATCCTGCTTCGGAATATTTACAAAGTTTCTATAAAGCTCAGCATTGGTCTGCTCAGGTGCCATAACAAAATACTGCAGACTCAGCGGCATAAGTAACAGAAATTATTTTTTCACAATTCTGGAGGCTAGATATACAAGATCAAGATGCCAGCAGGGCCTGGCTGCAGTGGCTCAGTGGTTGAGTACGGTGTACCTATGAACTAGGAGGTCACTGTTCCATTTCCGTCATGGCACATGCCTGGGTTGCAAGCTCAATGCCCGGTAAGGGGCGTGCAGGAGGCAGTCAATCAATGATTCTCTCATCATTGATGTTTCTATCTCTCTCTCCCTCTCCCTCTCTGAAATCAACAAAGATATATATATATATATATATATATATATATATATCTCTGAAATCAACAAAGATATATATATATAAAGAGATGCCAACAGAGTTGGTTTCTGGTGAGGCCTCCTTGCTGACTGTAGAGAGCAATCTTCACCCTTTGTCCTCTCATGGCCTTTCCTCTGTATGCCCCTGGTAAGAAAAAGATGCCTTGTGTCTCTTCTTCTTCTTACAAGGATACAAGTCTTCTGGGATTAGAGTCCACCTTCATAACCTAATTTGTTTGTAAATATCTTGTTAAAGGTCTTATCTCCAACTATAGACACATTGGGAGTTAAGGCTTCAATATATAAATTTGAGAGGGGTACACACTTTAGTCCATAACAAGCTCTACCAAAAAATTATGCCTGTTTTTACTTTAATCAATAAATATTTCTGTGTGCCTTTTATGTACTAGGGAAAGTTCTGAGCATTTCTTTAGACTATAAAGATAACCAATGGAATGATTTTTCCCCCAACAAGTGAAAATGTCAGTAATGTTTTAAAAGTAAAGAGATCATTTTCAAAGAAATAAATTAAAGAATTATAGAAAAATTGTTTTATTAATTTTAATGAGATTTTTAAATACCAGTACAATTGATAATCTGAAAGTTAAATGTCAATTCATTATATTTAAAAATCACTGGTATTCATAATGTAAGTAATCCTATATAATAAAGAGGTAATATGCAAATTTATCCTCACTCCATCAAGTCACAACAAGATGGCTATGCCCACAATGGAGGCAGGGTTCCTGTAACGCAACATGGCTGTCCCCACAGCGGAGGCAGGGTTCCCATAATGAGCCATAAGGAAGATCAGCAGGGACCTGAGACTGCGTGGCACCGGGCCAGGTCGGGGGACCTGAGGATGCACCACCCACCCGATAGGGCTTGACAGGCAACCTCAGGCCATGCCCTCAGCTTAGCGGGGCTTGACGGGGACCTCAGGCCACACACCCTGCCCTGGCACTGAACCAGGGGACTTCAGGCCGTTCCTCCTGCCCAGCAGGGCTTGATGGGGAACCTCAGGCCACACCCCCACCCAGCAGGGCTTGAAGGGGCACCCATCTGGCAGGGCTTGACGGGGTACTCTTGCACAGATTTCGTGCTCCAGGCCTCTAGTTCTGTCATAAAAAAATAGGTGTTCCTCTTACTATCAAATAAAAATGATTATCAAAAATATTTTCTTATTTTTATATTAATCATTTGATCAATTTTCTTTCAATGAATACTATATTTTTTTAAAAACAATCTTTATATAGAATCCAGCACTTTGAAAAGAGTATGAAAAATATTTTCAGAAAAGAAGATGTTATCTTCCATGCTATACTCAATTGTGGGAGGAACATTGCTCCTCACAATAAGATTTTTAAGTGTTCAGTAAAGTCACCAATAATTCTATCTTGGAAATAGGTGAAGAACAGAGCTCTTTCTATAAATTATAAAGCTAGAGACAACATTGCATGGAAGACCGAAATCTAGAAGTCCTATCTGTCTTTAACCTCTTCTCACCCTCCTGATGCAGAAGCACATAAGTAAAATATTATGTTCATAATATTATTTACTTTTCTAATCAAGTGATATGCTGATTCCTGGGGAGTGCACAAAATATGGGCTAAATTCAATGGATATAAGGAACTCAGAAGAGAAAAATTAATAACTTGCAATAGATGACAAAAATCAGGAAAATTTAGAATCCTAGGAGATTAGTTGTCAGGATAAACAATGATTTCCTTTTATCAATAAAAATGAGCCCTTCTACATGCTAATGCTACTGGGATTAGAGTATGAACTGATATAACAAGGATAGGGCCAGACTCTAGGAAAGGTTTACTATATTTTCATGTAGCTCTTCTAGATAATTCTGGCCTACATGCTGCTTTAAGATGACCAATATTTTGTGTATTACCTCCACCTGTTGCTGCCTTAAAAAATTAAGGAAATCAGAATTTTCCCAGATTTAAAAAAATAGTCAACAATATGTTAAAGTTAAGCAGATTATTTTAGAAGTAATTATTAAAACTATAGAAAAATTACTAATTTTGTGAAACTTGTACTTAACAGTAACTGATTTCCTCTAGTGCCATGGTCGGCAAACTGCGGCTCGCGAGCCACATGCGGCTCTTTGGTCCCTTGAGTGTGGCTCTTCCTAAGCCTTAGGAGTACCCTAATTAAGTTAATAACAATGTACCTACCTATATAGTTTCAGTTTAAAAAATTTGGCTCTCAAAAGAAATTTCAATTGTTGTACTGTTGATATTTGGCTCTGTTGAATAATGAGTTTGCCGACCACTGCTCTAGTGTAATCTTCAGTTAAAAAATTAACTGTTTTTGGGTTGGTTTTATTACTGGTTATTTTTTTGTTTTTGTTTATATTTTAAAATCTTTAATGTTGAGAGTTTTAGAGATGTCCCCTTTTTTCCCCCCATTGCCTCCTATCTGGTTCCCTCTCTACCGCAGACCTTCACCACCCTATTGTCTGTGTCCATAGGTAATGCATATATGCATATAAGATCTTTGGTTAATCTCTTCCCACCTCCCTCTGTTCCCTCTGAGGTTCATCAGTCTCTTCCCACCTCCCTCTGTTCCCTCTGAGGTTCATCAGCCTGTTCCATGTTTCCATGCCTCTGGTTTCATTTATTTTACTTTTTAGATTCAATTGTTGATAGATATGTACTTATTACCATACTTCAATTGTTGATAGATATGTACTTATTACCATACTACTGTTCTTCTTCTTCTTCTTCTTCTTCTTCTTCTTCTTCTTTGTCATCTTCTTCTTCCTCCTCCTCTTCCTCTTCTTCTCTTTAA